ATAGAACTTCTGTGATCAACTGAATGTCTTCAAGGAAGAAGTGTTGAAGCTATGGGTAAGGAAACCTCTTCTTCATCTGGACAACACTCCCTGGGAATTCTCACACAAACCAGAAACTCGAGAACCATCTCCTGAACCTTAACCTTTGGTTATCTTCAAAGACAAAGGAAAATCTGTTGAAGAATATTCTAAGAAAGTAACTACTGAAGAAACGGTTTGTGCTGAAGAAATGGCTCCAACTTCTCTTATGCTAAAAACTCTAGAGGAATTGAAGAAAGAGAATGAAGTTGTTAGGGAAATGTTGGATAAACAAGATGAAACCAACAAAGAGATCAAGGGAATGTTGGGCAAGCAAGAAGAATCCAACAATCAGATCAAAGGTCTTCTGGAAGCATTGTTCACACATCTTTCATTGTATTTTCCTCTGCTTTTAAATGCACAAATTTTTACTCTGATTACGTGTTTTTATTTCTTTTTTATTTATGACAAAAAGGGGGAGAAAGTGAGATATTTTGATATAAGCAGTTCTGGACTAAGTCTCAAACATTTCAAATAACGTAAACTTCTGTTTCAATGGTTCTAATAGCAAACAAGGAAAGTATCACTCTAAACCTGTGGTATGCCTTACCAGCCTTCAACATAGGCTTCTCAGAACTTCCATCATATGCTTTAATATCTTTTCAGGGAAGTATCTACTCTTTTATTTAAATTTTATCTGAGTATTCAACTTAGATGGGGAGACTCTGAAATCTTTATCTTCTGAAAATTATAAATTGTTGTTCAAAATGTGTAAGTTTTGTCATCATTAAAAAGGGAGAGATTGTTAGAACATAGTTTGGCTCTACATCTAATTATTAATTTTGATGATAACAAATACATAACTTTTGTGAAGAATAATTCTGCACTCTAATCATTTGATTAAATTTACAGAGAAGTTCTAATGAAAGCAAGAACATTAATGATGTGAAAAATCACATATAAGGCTCTGAAGAAGAAGAACATATAAGAAACTCTGAAGCGACGCTAAAACAACACGCAAGAAAGAGAAATTCAGATGCTGACAGTCAAACTTCTGAAGCACCAAGCTGCAAGCTATACTCTAATAAGTGAAGTTCTGAAAGAACAAAGAAAGTCTCAATGTACTCATCTATTCTGAAGTTCTAAGACTCAACACTTAAGTTCAAGATACTCCGATGAACAACATCACATTAAATGATAATCATTATAAGATCAAGATTGTAACATCTATAACATTATGGATGGAAACAAGATCTTTATTTTTGGAAAGGATATTAACATCAAATCATCAACCTTCCAGAAATATCGCACATGTCTCCAACAGATCTCTTGGATCAAATTCCTATATAAAGAATACTATGAAGAAGAATCAAACAACACACATACACACATATGAATAGTTGCAAAATTTCTCACATCTTTCTATCTGTTAAAAATAGTCTTTGTTCTAAAATTTGTGTAAACATCACAGTTGTGATAAAGCTTGATAGAAGAAAACTCAAATACAATTGTATAATTATTTTTAGTTGTATTTCCTTGAGAAACTAAGTTGTGGTTTGATCTTAAGAAGACGTTGACAATTGTCTTCATGAATTGTAATAATTTGTGATTAGTGGATTAAGACCTCGATTGAGAGAGGAAAAACCACCTTGGCGGATGGACTGGAATAGTTTTGAGTTCAAAACAAACCAAGATAACAATGTGTTTTATAGCCTTAATTTTTTGAAAACCCAAATTAAAACCCCTTTTCTTGTGTTTTTTCTATTCTTCAGAAAGGTGGGGGATATTATGCATATATAGAACATCTCTCCATATTTTATTTTGGTGCGAATTCAAGGGCGGTGAAAAATTGGGTGGACTTTATTCTTCACTTGAAAGACACTTTATCTCTCATGGGCGATGTGTACTAGTTCCTTCGCGAGCTGTCTACGCAGGGAGTGAACTCCTTTGCATCACGTGACTTATTCTCAACATTATTGTCCTCACCCTTGATATAAAATTATAATCGTGTCTCTACATCAACAAAGGACGTTGCTAATCTTTTAATGAGAGACTTGTTAAAGTGTCATGCCCTAAGATCATTATGAAATGCTCCTACGAACATTTCTTGTTATGGATGTATTACCTTGATTGTTTCTTTTTTGAAGCGAACAAGTACTCCCTCAATAACTCTAATGGGCCCTGGAGTATATTAAACAAATAGGCGGCGGTCAACTTTCAGTGCATGCTTGCGGTGAATTGTTGGACCAGCTTCTTCATTAGGTCTTGATATCGAATGAGAGCGAGCCTATGGAAGCCCATAAACCATCTCAAGGCTACGTCCCTAATGGTGTTGGACAAGAGCTTGCACTTTAGGGAGTAAGGTGCTCCAATATGATCATTTGAGTGTTGATGGAGGGCGCATGCTCATACAGATCAATGTACTCATCAAACTTAGCCATCAATGGCGACTTAAAGTTTTCTAGGACGTGTGTCTCCCATATCTAGTCCGATTGAGGTTGGAGATCCAATACATCCCTTTCATCCATGATATCAGTCTCTTATGGTGCTAATAAATATGAAGAACGTTAATCAGTGGTTTTTGCACCTTTATTTACTGGTAATTTCAGTTAATCTTCTCGTTGTTTTTAAGCACTTTATTTCCCATTTTCTGTATTTTATGCTTTGGTTGTGTCTCTTTAATGTTTTTAGGTTCAAATAGATATTCAAGAAGGATTAGAGCAAAAACCAGAAAAAATCACGAGAATTCAGAAAAGTTTCCTACAACCTCCAAGAGGTCTGCTACGGGCCGTAGCAGGATGTCTGGGCAGAAAATGTCAAAGTAAAAAAGCAGAGAAGTGTTATGGACACTCGTAGGAGCTGCTATTGGATGTAACGCACGTGAGTGCTGACGTGAAATCTTTCCTTTTTTGGCGATTTTTGACATCTCAGGGTATTTTGGGTAATTCTAAACCTGAATTTATGATTTTTGGACCTGATTGATGAGAGAGAAATACAAAGGAAATACTTTTTATTTAAGAAAATTTAGATAAGGATTAGAGGACTATCTGGAAGTAAAGAATTACACGAGAAAATATTGAAGAAGACAAGCTTTTCGATGAGAAGAAGATTTTCATGAACAAAAGTGATTGAAGATCAAATTCCTCCCCAATATTGGTAATGTCTAGAATTTATCTTTTGTTTTCTTTGAATACTATGAGTAGATAAACCCTCAAATGCAAGGGGGTGTCCCTAATTTGAATATGTAATGTCTTGATTGTATATTTGCAATAATAATGTTTTCCATTATCAATTTGTTCTCTTGATATTTTTAATGCTTTCTGTTTTGGACAAATTGAGATTGATGTATGATTATCGATTAGGTTGGACGACCGTTGCTAATGCTTTCTTGAGAACATTCTATAGTAGATATCACCTAGGACTAGGGATACCCTATAGGAACCGAATCATTCTTGATTTAATAATTCTTAATTTCATCGATAAGTTTCTCTGGACTTATGGCGTAGGATGAAAGATTAAAAGTTTTCTCACTAAAGACTTAGGAGTAAACACCCTTAAGAACTGGTAATTGATTACATAAAATAAGTTGTTGCAATATTGAATCAGCATTGTTGCAGGGATAATTCACACACCTACCCTAGCATGTTACTCATATTTGTTAAAACCACTTAGTCAATTTTCTAAATTTATTCGCAATTATTATCTACTCGCAATTCAAACTCAAACACTAGTTTTTGTTTACATGAGCAACAACTCGAACTCCATATTTACACACAGTCTTTAAGATCGACATTTGAGGAACTTTCCTCATTATTACTATAGAGGAAAAATAGTACACTTGTTATTTTCCCAATCAATTGTTATCCTCCAAGGTTAGGTTCTGGAGTCAAAAGTCGTCCATAGCACCATGCATTTCTATTATGACACTTCCCTCGTTGTCAGATTCCTCGCATGTCGGAGTAGTTGTCGGAGTAGTTGTCTTCGCAGGTCGGAGGAGTTGTCTTCTTGTTGACCATGATATGGGATGAGTGCAAAGACAATATTCCAGTTGAATGTTGTGAGTGTAGCCAAAGTCAATTTTATCGGAGCCTCACAGTAGACGTCAATTGTACTCGTTAAAAATATAAATGTGTGACAACCTCTAATGAACAAGGGTTCTTAAAGGTTTTAGGATGATTATCGTGTTGAGATCTTGCTGGCGTGAGATAAGAAGCTATTGTATTTGTGTAATTCTCTGTTGTTGTTAGGTTGTTTGAGTATAATGATATAAATATACTTATAATCCATAAGTGTGAAACCGAGTCTTCCTATAATTTAACAACCACCACATGAATGTCTGTTTGATTTCTTAAAATTTAGAAAGTGAGGTTAAATCCCACGATCCCTTATGAAACGTTTGCTGGTCCAATATATATTTCGCGCACCACTGCACACTATGAGCGAAGACATTGAGAATTATAGCGATAAATTTGAACATGGTGTGCTAAATCTAAGAGAGGGACACTCAAACGAATGAGGGGCTAAGTGTGTGTCTTTCGCTCACCCTCTAAATCTCATTAGTTTATACCACTATAAATTGTTAAATTAAATAAAATATATATACAAATCTACAATTTTATAAGATGAATAGAATATGTTTTTTATATTAAATTTAATTTATTTTATAAAATTCATTTATTAAATCTGACGTGCCAATTTTATCAAACAAATATTCTTTTTAGTTCTATTTATAAAAATAAAAAATTTAATTTATCAAATAGATCATGTATATTGTCTATATATTATCTATATACATTATTTATTCCATGTATTAAAAAGTAATTTTCTTATAAAAAGGACTAGAAAGGGAGTTCATAATTATGAATCTGATGTCACTCTTTGAAAACATTGAATAAATTTATGCATAAATACCCTCTCATTTTCGTTTGACCAACAACAAGCATCTGTCATAGATGGATAGAGTGAATGGTTTCACAAACCATATGGCCACACCTTCAATTTCCATTCACATCACTTCTCTTTCTCCAAATCATGGTTGGGGGACTATATCCAATCAAGTAGTTATTCAAATGTCATCACTTATTGATACTCCAAGAAAGAATATAAAAAAGATCTGTAAGGTAATTACTAGCTTCAAAACAAAGCAACAAAAGGAGTTATCAACAACCTCAAAGAATATCAAGAAAATCTACAAGGTAATGCATAGCTACCTTAAGAAAATGAAGAGGCCAGAGGATGAAAAATGCTTGTGGAAGAAGACCATATTAATGGGAGAGAAGTGTCAACCATTGGAATTTTCAGGTGCAATATTTTATGATAGTGAAGGGAATCAACTTTCTGAGCCTCCAAAGATACCAAGGAAAAGCCCTTTAATCAACTAAAATTTTAAGGTCAATAATAATATCATCTTCCATACTCTAAATAATCTTATGTTCTAAATTTCATGGGAGATTCATTAATAAAAAGTATAAGTAGAGTTTTTTTAAAGTGTGTGACTGTTTTATTTATTATTTTTTCAATTAATACTTAATTTGTAAAATATAATTAATTTCTTTATGAATTTGTTCAATTATAATGTTTTATGAAATATTCAAAGTATCTATCACTAATAATTTTTAGAGATGTATATGTATGTGCCAGTCAATCTCTTTCCATCTTAAAAAATATATTAAAAAACTTATTTAGTAAAATGATCATATGTTATTTATTACAATTTTCAAAGTTAATATTATTTAAATTAGTTTCTTTTGACTAAAATAAAATCAGATCAGATCTAAATTTCAATGTTTTCATAAAAATATATTAAATAAAATAATTCAATTATTAATTAAAAATAATTATATATAAAATTCATTGCATCAATTTAATATTAAAATTGTATTTAAATTTCTAAAAATTAAAATTTTACAATTTTTTTTTTGAATTTAGCCAACCATTTCCGACCCACATAATAAATCAACTATGATCACAATAATCGAACTCGGATAGTATCTCAATGATTCGTCCTTCGTGGAAGTTCATTTTCCACTGAAGTTCAAGTACGTGGTTAAAATTTTACAATTTTAATAAAATATTGATATAGACTTTAAAAGAGTCTTGTAAAATTTCTCTTTAAGTGTTCAATATACAATATATTTGTTTGTGATTTCTATGTGTAGTAGTAGAAATATTGAGATTAAGCCATTATATTGACTTAACTCACAAATCAGTGGAAGTCGCCACCGCACTTAAAAAGGAATGACAAAAGAGAGAATAAATCCAAAGTAAAATAGAGATCGAGGTAAGGGGGTTGGTTATGCAAAGGGAAGGTATTAGCACCTTAAATATCTACGGTACTCCGCATGAACCTCTTTGAAAACTTGTGTATTTTGGCTATAAAAGAAATATTTACAAAATAAGATTGTGGAGATGAGAAAAGAAATATTTTTTTTACATTCCTGCATCCGCCGCGGTTGCGAACCTTTTGTGCCTACATATCCCCTTCGTGCAATAGAGAAGATCAGGGCTCTCATAGTTCTTCTAAAAAAATTTGAAAAAAGTTTTGTGTGTTAGTTAATTTAAAGAAAAAGATTTTAAAGAGAAGAGCCAAAGCGGAGAAAATGTTTGAATTTGTTTTGTCTTTTTTTAAGTATTGAAGAAAGAAGCCATATCAGGATTAAGACTGATTGATGACTTCATTAAGAAAATAATTTTGAAAATGCATGAACCTAAGTCTAAATTTTTTATGAAAGCGATTCAAGTTAGAAAACAAAAATCCTGTGAAAAAGGGAGAAGGTTTTGAAAATTAAAGAGGAATGAGAGAAGATGAAGAGATTATCCTAAAGAACAAAGTAAAAGCTAAGGTAAGGAAAGGTCTAACCAAACAAGGAGCCAACACTAGAAATTATAAAGTCAATGTAGAATTCTAATCCTTTGAATTAAAAGCCACAAGTACCAAATAGACCAAGAGCATATCAATCATCCATGTGAAAATAAATCACAACTGAAGAAGTATCAAAGAAACTCCAAGATTTAAAACTCAAAGCAAGGTCTTCAATATTGAGCCATGTGCCATATAGATCACTTAAGGCCAACAGAATAACACCTAGACACAAAAGATTTCTCAATACAAGTAAAATAACAATGAAATAACATATGGTTCAAAGGCCTCAAGGTCTCAAAGATCAGAGCAAGGCTTCTAATCCTATGTCCAAGAGGTCCACAACTCCAATATGCCAAGAATAGTAACCAATAGTCCATAAAGAGCCTTAAGTCTTTTAATGTTCAAATTGGTTATTAAGTGTATTCAAAAGAAAATAAAAGATCAAGTGAGCAAAGATAAAATGACATAAAAATAAATGCTCAAGTGAGCAAAAGGTAAATAGCATGAGATGTAAATGCTAAAGATAAAAATGCATATAAGTAAAGGAATAAAATAAAATGCGTAAAATAAAGGCATAAAGTAAAGTTAATTGTTAATGTGTTAGAAGTTAGAAGTTAATTGTCAATGATTAATGGCCACAAGATGATCAATGATGATTGAATTTAAGTCTTGGATCAAAAGTAATTAGTACTTATTAGAAGTTTGACAAAATCAAAGCCTCTTAACATTAAGTCTCAAAGGGTATTGGACCCAAGCTAACCAATCAACCATACTTGGGCTTACAAACATAAAGTTTGGGCCACGAATGATAATTTTTCGAATCGAGATAAATTTAGCATTATGTTTAGCAATCGTAAATGGACTTATATAGAAGTCACACCTATTTTGAGGTCGGTCAATAGCAATGTATGTACCATATATATTAGGGACATGGTAAAAACCAAACTCCTAAAACATGTAGCACAAGTAAAAACAAAAATGAAGAATAAGGGAGATGAAGAAGATATAAATTTCATAATAAATAATCAATGATGATTGAAGATTAAACTTATGTCAAAGTTGACGAAAACTTGTTAGAGGATTGATAAAATTAAAGCCTCCTAACAACAAGCTTAAAAGGTCTTGAACCATGGCTCAATAATTAATCATACTTAGACAATTTCAATCCTAAAGCTTGGGCCACTAATAATCATATAAAAGGAAAGAAAATGGGATGAGATGAAGAGGGTAAGGGGAATGTTGCAAAGAGCACCCCAAAATTAAGTCTAACTTCATCAAAATCAATCAACTATCTTAGTGGATTTAGTCTTTTAACCTATGAATACCCAAGTTTCATTGATGTTGATGAAATTTATGACCCACAATATGTCCACACATTACCAAGTCAGAACCAAATAAAATAAAAATAACTTCAAGTAATATATAGAGTATAAAGACAAATTTTAAATGGTTATTTAATTGGAATTTATTGATGAAATACTTAAAGTGTATCAAAACACCAATTGAAAACCCTAAAAAATTATCAAAAGTCAAACAATAGTCAACAAGTGCTGACAAATTTTTTTGAAAATTTGTAAAGTCAGAAACTATTTTTTTAAAAATGAAAAATTAAGTGAATTAAACCAAAAATAAAAAAATAGCAAAATTGAAAATAAAAAATTAAATAAAGTCACTATAACTTGTCAAAATGTTATTTGATCATTCCAAAATTTATTTAGAATTTTTAAAGACCTAGGAATACTTTTAAACAATTAAAAACAATTCAAATAATGAGAAAAATCATAAAAATATCAAATCATAAAATAAAATCATGAAAATATGAAAATTAGAAAAATAATTTTCAAAAATATTTTTGTGATTTTTTTCATAATTTTTGAATTTGAAATGAATTTTTTATAATTTTTTAAAGTTTAAAATAATTAAAAATAAAAATCAGAAAATAAAACAAAAGCCTAAATAATGTGGAGTTGGATGGATCTGACTAATGGAAAGTAGTCAGATCACACAATCAACATTACAGCGCACCATGGAATTTATGATGTTAACGCATCCAATCATCAATTAAAATATAAGCGAATAAAAAATGCTGGAAAAAATAAAGAACGTTGGATCATAGTCACTTAAATGGTCTGGACAATTCAACAACGTTGAGACTATGATCTATGTTGATCCTCACTGAAACACATCACACCATGTTCAATTTACAACATCGAATCAAAATAAAATACGTGCTAAGCTTTCATTGGCTGGATGATGACAACTCATCATCTTCAACCTTCAACCAAAAGAGGTGAAATCGTATTTCTACAAATGGTAATCATTTCTCATTAGGATGATTTTATTGGATTCGTCTCATCTGGATGATCTCAATCATCTATTCGCGAAAATTTATTTTAACCACTGGCTACTCGATTTGAAAAAAAAAACAGCAGAAAAAGTGAAAATGAAATTTGAAATTAAATGCCCAATCCTCAATGAAAATGAAAATCAGAAGAAGCATGAGCTTCAGAGATGAAAGGACTACATCTTAGCATACTATTTGGAGTGAAACAGTTGCAAATTATACTTGAACAAAGTAAGCAAAATTTTCTCTGAAACTAGACTTGGATAGCTTGATTCAGTAGGTGATTTGACTTGGATAGCTGAAACTGGACTTAAATTCAACCACCAATTTTGAGACAATCTTGATCAAATGAAATTAAGAGATTCCTAAAACCATAGAACTTTTATGTCATAACCATATCCTTGAAGTTCAAGCCTTTAAATCCCACTAAATAACTGATTGAATGAGGATCATCCTTCAAAATCCCAGCTTAGAAGAAGAGAGGGATGTACTTGGTTCAATACCTACAATGTACAAAGCATAGAGAGGAAACATACATTTTTAGATTTTTGGTTAGAGGTTAGTAAACATGAAATACATATATAAGATACACAATTCAAGGTGTTTGGTGATCCCTCAAGGACAAAATCAAAGATAGGAGAGAGTAGAAAAGAGAACCAACTCTAATGTGTGATCTTGATGCATTGTGATGATATAAAGTGATGGGGGATCTTAGGGACAAAAATTGAGGTATAATAGCTTCCCTTATTTAAGTGTCTTCTAGTCAGCGATACGAAGATTAAAGCATTCGTTTCGACGCGATTGAAGATACTTAAATATAAAACAAACCATATTGTTGGCCCTAAGATGCCATGTGAAACAACTAGCTGAATGTCAACTGATAATGAAATCAATAAAGTCGCCATCGAACATTTTTTATTCCACAGGAAAGGAAAGGCAAACATCGAGTAAACTTGAGAAGGGTGAAATCAAGGTCAAATGACCGAGAGATCGGTTAAGGGAGTCTGTTACGTGAGGGGAAGGTATTAGCATCCCACACGCTCGTAGTACTCTATGGTATCCACTCTTGTTATTCTAATTTAATGGGTGCGGTCAAAGTTTATGTCTAAGGTTTAAAGTAAAAAGAAAGAGGGAATGCATGCAAAAGAAAAGGAAAAGAAAGTGTGGGGAAAAGA